CTTGCTTCACCCTACTAGGCTCGCTGTCTACAAATATCATAGTACGCCAACCTGCGACTGAGCATTTGCGTCCTTCTGCTCATCATCATTTATACAGTACTCATCATCTGTGGGATCGGCTCTTTATTCCGCTGTTCTCCAAATTGCCCAGGTATTGCAGATGTTTGTGCTGGGGCCACGTCTGATCCTCAGCGTTCGCGAATATCACGCTAAGCTCGTGGCCATATCCGACGAGGGAACAGGCATGACGTCTATGTCATTCCAGGCTGGTGGTGATGCATCGACTGGCGGAGACGTTTAGCACAGGAAACGATCCAAATGATCAACTACAGTACTGTACTACATATAGATTTTATCAGTCTCGTTGTGGTATTTCTTTAGGAGTATCGTCGTGATATTTATTTAGTGTCCCGGGATGAATTGGACAACAGAATTAGGTCTAGGAAAACCACATTGCCGCCAGACAAGAAACCACCCGATTCACAATTGAAACGGTTGAGCGCTTGCATGAAATTTGAAATGATTTTGCTCCTCTTCCTTTCGAATTCACCATGCTGCGACCTTTGCGCAAGATGGACTCGTCTCACTCTCATGCAAGTCCCTCCATACGGTACCAATCCCATATATATATATATGCAAATCACCCTATTCATTCCATTACCTTCCCAATTATTATACCCTCAACACCCGTTTTCTCATGGGTCCTCATGTTCTACTCAAACTAATTTCTACCCCGCCCTGCAGTTCACGTCGGCCTCCCCTCAATCCAAAGCCTTTGGCTATGAAAACTGCATTGGTGTATTCGCTCAAACAGTCCTTCCCTGCGCAGCACCCCGGTACGAAATCATCTATGGCCTCACACCCGGATCTGTAGGTAGCATAGGTCACATCGATGACCTCTTTGGCGTGGATGGCTACAAACGCACTTTTGCGAGCTCACTCCTCGTATTTGGCGCTTTCCGCAGTTTGCACGCTGCATGGGCCACCCTCGAAGCACTATTCATCATTGCCTTGTAGCCACAGTACGCGAAATGGGCTTGGGCTTACGCCGCGGCCCTCTATCGGAGCACCATGTACCTGAGCCACCACTATCTCATTGATGTGTGGTGCGTGTCTTGCCACTGCTTGTTTTGACTTTTTCGTGCCCGAGGAGTTGCGCAATGGGAGCGCTAATCCTTCCGGAGACAAATACGAGAGGTACGATCTCGAATTGGGGAGCAGCGGAGTAGGCGCGGACGAGTGAACGGTGAGCGATGAGGAAGAGACGCCTATTGCTTACCGATCGTCGAATGCTGGAGCGGGTAGAGAGCATAGGCATACAGCTAGTATCGTGAATCACATCAGTGCTGATGAAAGAACTGGAGAGGAGGATTGGAGTCTCATTGTTCGTGTTCCCGCCTGAAAGCAGGAGGTAGTGCGTTAGATGGATCGTGTTCTTGCGTATGCCCGGGTTTTGGTTGCTGGATTCTTGCGCGACTCTACGTCTGCATTACGGGTAATTGCGGTCGACGCTAGCACCCTTCTAAATCTCGGTAGACATTCATTCCAGCTCAAGTTCGATTGCGGATCGACTACTCCAATTCGTTTTGCAATACGTCAAGGAATAGTGTCTGTGCCTGCGCGTCCTAAATGCCTAGAATGAGCCAAGGCTGCAACGATACATCAAAGCTGAGTAGATACGCACCCGGCGAATACGCGTGTCGAGTGGTTCACTGTACTGGATGTAGTGTGGTGTGGTGTGATCCATGCCGTTGCGCTATCTGGTGGCCCTTGGAGACGGAGAAGAACGCGCCAGCGTACAATATAAAACCAACGCGATCCCGATGACCATAACCGTGTCCGTATATACAAGGACACCCATGGGGTGTCTGCATCTCCAACTCTTCATCTCTTTAGTCACACTGTGAGATTATGCGAGTCGGGACAGCTGATAGCACTGATGACGAATGCGTCAGTCCTGAGGCACGATCTCTGGTTTTTGATTCCGGAATGGTACAAGTCTATATCACTTACATAAAGGATTCAGAGTCGGGATCATTTCTCACTTTCGAGGTAGCGCAGAATTATCGTGGCATGGGTGTATGCGCTCGTTCGGAAAGAATGGCAAGGCCGAGGAGGGTAAATGGACCGGACTCCTGCATGTTCAACATCAACGTCAATATGAAAGACCATCGTTGTAACAGACGGGTGGAAATACATACATACATCAGGGCTGATGAGAGCTGGGGAGGAGCTAGAGGGTGCAGGGTCCGTGTTCCCACTTGAAATGCGATACACCGACGGTATATGTACTTTATCGGTATCAATATCGTGCGGCCGTGATCTTCAGATTGCTGTTGTTGTAACGCGCATTCGATAGAGCTGGTTCATTGTGCGATGATCGATGCGTGTGATAGCGTTTTGTTGGCTCTGCAACTCTTGGCACCGGCCCAGGGCTCATTGGAATCTGGGTGACGAGCAGGATCTGATAGTAAGACATCTGATGAAAGTAGAGAATTCGAAGAACGCACCGGGACCTAGCCATTAAAAAAACCAACACAATCCCGGTATATTCCATTGCTGCGCTTGCCCTTGTTTGATGTCGGAGTCTGCATGAACAGAGGAGCGCTGGTCATGGCACTGTGTCGCAGGAAGAATCCTGCAGAACTTGAACTCCAAGATATCACAAGGAAAGAGCCTCGAGTTCTAACGAACAAGCCTCCTCGTATCCGCATATATGGTTTGCATGCAATGAAGACTCGGCTACTATAAAGAACCGTTTTTGTTAGGCAGCAAAGAATGGATGGGCTATGCATGACAAATTGAGTATTGAGGTTCGATACGAAGAACTCGTACCTTACCAATGTTGGTATTAATCTCGACCACTAGGTATCGGTCGTTCAGCATCTTGTTATGCATATGTAGATGAGTAAGGAGGCGAATTCCATCTGGGGACCCCACCGGGCAGGGACTATTAAGTGTGGGTCTCTCAGGGTTGCTCAGCTTGTCCTTCATGGAGCTTTACCATTCGTAGCTCCACAAAGAACATATTGAGCATCGCTGCTGGCCCTGCTCGGCTCCACCATAATGACCTGAATGGATGTATTCCAGAGTCAGTTAATCGCTCAGCCAACTTGAACCTGCCGCTCACCCTCGGTGTGTCACTTGGTTTGAGAGGCATAAAATTTGAAATGACTTTGTTCCCACGGGACTTTACTATGCTCAATCAACGCGCTAGTTGCTGGAGCGAATAGACTGACTTGACAAGTCGTCTTCATCTTCTGACACTCACTAAGCTCTATGTACACAAATTCACCCTGAAAGACTCGATTTACATTCTTCACATACATTCTACCCTCTTCTGGCTTACTCTCGTGCAAGTCCATTCCCCTCAAAACTAGCCATGCACCCTCCGACAATGGAGGGAGGTTGCTGTGGGCCTACACAATGTATGGTGTAGGCTGCAGTTGTCCAGCGAGGAAGCCCACAGTACATGCTGGTCATTATTGGCATCAAGAAAGTCGTCCGTTCTCTTTGGGGGCTCGTTATGCCATGTTCTGTATAAGGTTTAGTCACGACGTTTGTCTTGAACGGCGTCTATCGCTATCCGTAATACCAGTGGACACTCTTTTTCCTGGGTTACCTAACTCCCGGTGTCTCTTGCTGGTCCGCTTGGGCTTGTCCTCCTCGTCCTGAAGCTTGCGCTACGTGAGTCGTTCGCGTTAAGCTTTTGATGAGTTTTTTTTGAATAAGCCATCGATGACATAGACTGTATGTCTGGCCTTGCATTCGCCTCCCATGGCTCCGGCGTTGTTGCTGCGCTTCAACAGGTTGGGTTAAATATGAATTACACCCAGGTTGCATTTATTCCACAAGTACAGCCGCGACAACATCCCCATACTCATGCAGATCTAGAACTTAAATTTAGCGCTAGGTATATTTGCTAGTTTGGCTGGTCTCAACGCCGTGCGCCGATCACGCGGCCCTCAGCTAGTCACATAAGGGCACCTCCAAACGCTTGCCAACCCTGTGAACGAATGGTCGCCTGTGATGTGGTGGGACCACAAGCAGGACGGACTGTATTGTCATGCTGGTAGGGTAATTGTATGGTCACGAGGATGATGTATTAAAGGTTTCGAACAGGGACGATCGACCATCTACTGCTGGATGTGAAGATGGATTGTGTTTATGCTGGTTCCGGTTTCGGGTCTCCCTCGTGAGAAGTCACCCACTTTGAAAAGACACTACTCAATGTATCTTTGTGTACAGATCTACATACATAGGAGCTAAACCCATACCTGCCGGACTGACTATGTGTTGATGGTGTGCACGGCCGGCCACGCAGTAGAAAGAGTCATTTGTGATTTTCATGCGGTCTGCAAGATGCACTGCAATCTCTCGTAGGCAAACCAATGGAAGTATTAGATATCATATTGCCACTGCATGGTTGACAGTCTTTTCAGTTTTTGGTTTGGTTTTGGTCTTGGATATTCTTTGGGCTAATCTGCTCGCGCAGTATTTAAACAGGACTAGGCTGTAGAAATGGATGGAGGCCCTTCGCGTTTGCCGATACTAACATCTTATACAGGCCTTCCTCGCATCGTCATCTTCATATAGGACTCGTATTTTCTCTCGCTGCGCAAGTTATTTAGTACGAAGCTACATAGCATTTGGATTTTTTGGTTTCACACACATTGTCGCTCCCAAATTCACATCTCTTAGGCCCCCTTCGGAACTCAAATTAAATGAAACCTTCCCAAAAACCGCGCATGTACACAAAACCATTATATTCGGCAGGACACGGCAAAAGGCTCTACTCAGCTTTAATTGCATCGAGTTGGATACTTTTTATTGCATATACCCTCGTTTCACTGGGTTTGTGGTTGCTAGATTATTCTGTCTCCTGCTTGGTATTTGCTGCTCTACATCACCATTACCTGAGCGGTACTCAAGTGCTTATTAATATCATTTTCAATCTCAAAGCTCATCGCACGATACCTGCGTCCCCAACTTTCCAGTCACTGGGCAAAGCATTAATATTGCCGGGGAGTATACTGCGGGCTGCCATCATGATTTACAACTTTCCTCGACATCAATCATACAGTGTACAAGTTTCTGGCAATCCCTCAGGACTCAGTACCAGCGCCTTCTTCGACATACACTACCCTTGCGTCTTCCATCTTCGCTTTCGTCCCCTCAGTCTCTGTCCCCTCTTCTAATGTAAGTAACGTCCCGATGTTCGTGGTACAGGGCATCTGTGTTAAAACGACACTCGTGAAGACCCCACATGACTGGTCGAGATCAAATGTTTCCTTCCAGCATACGCGATATGCAAAGGTAACGATAACTAGGAGGTCGCAGATGACGAGACTGAGTGCGGTCTGATTCCATCAGATATTGCAGACACGGAAGCATGCACAGTACTTACCTTGACGTGCGCGAGGATGATCGTGATCTTACCCATGTTGTGGACCTTAAGGAGGATTATAGAGTAAGGGATGGTGATAGCTGTGTTTAGAAGCGATGCGCTAAAAGCGGAAAGAACCAGCATCTTTGTGCTCTGCGAAAGCCCTACATTTCTCCAGAGATATAGTGGTGCAGCAACGAGGGAAATATCCGCGGTGGCGTCCGCTGCAAAACCCAAATGTTATTTGAGGTCCATATCGTGATGCTAACAGCGCAATAAAGCACAAAGTATAGAGGTACTGACTGATGAGAAGCGAGAGCGCCATCGACTTGCCCATGTGACAGGAATGGAGTGCGCACATGGTGATCCTATGAGCGAGGAGCGCGGCCCACATGCATGCGAAGGAAACTCCAATGAGATAGGTGATCTGCCTGTGATCCTTGAAGCTTGAGTGGTTGGTGATGCGGATGATGGAGAAAATAACGCTCATACGTGCAGCCCTATACCAGCGAGTCGGAAATCTGAGTGTTACTGGGAGAGTCATAATGCGTACCATTGGACACAGGTGAAAGCCACTGTGAGGATCCAGGCTTGGATTGATATGAACATGCAATCAGTATTAGAGTGCAAAGTCGGGTGCTCACAAGTTGCCCTTTGACTGTTGAGCCAGATACATGCCAAGCAAACAGCTAAGTAGGGGGATATGGTCAGCTTGCTGATCAAGACAGTGCAGAAGAAAAAAATTACCGTCTCCGATCAGTGCAGATGCCGCCCATGCATCCTCCCACCACAGGTGACGCATCCAGGCTCTATAAGCGAGCCTGAAGATGGTACAGAGGATGGCAATACTATGCGATACCAATGCTACGGCTTTCCAGCGATCATTAACATAAGATTATAAAATACTGGCAATTCTCAACTCACCACTCAGTCGGGATGAGTAGAATAATGCTACCATCAGATGAAGTAGCTTTGGATGCAAACCATAAAATTTAAAGACTGATTATCATATGTACTTAAGTATGTGATGCAGGTCCCAGGAGGACCCTTTGTAACTTACGTGCTTCCGTGATTTGTCTGCTGGAATGACAACCTGCATGCAGGGCCGCATGCGCAGACAGACCTGACTGGCAAAGACTCACAGAATGTATGTTATCGAATCGGTCATGGAGGACGGCGTTCTTCCTCTCTCTCACATCGACTGCAGCAGGAAAGACTACTTACAAACAGGCCTTGAAGCTTGATCAGCCTGAGAGGGACCAGGACCACATACGCAGAGAGTATCACCTTATGGATAATGGTCAGAAGATAGTGTCCTGGGATGATTTCGGCATCGGGAAAAACCCAAAATCGTGGAAGCCATAGTGACGGTGCTTTGTAGCCATTTTAGCGACATGTGGGCACTGGAGCAATATATATACTAGCCGCAGCTTAAGAATTAAGCTCAAGATGGAGTCGAATGGACTTCACGCAAATCACCTCCGAGTCACTACACCGTGACGGTACCCGGAATCCCCCGGCTGACGTTGTCGAGGTATCTTTCTTATTCTGACATCCACACGCTGAGCATGGGCGCCACACTGCGCTCAAAATGTGGGGTACGAGGTTAATGTTGAAGTTTAGCTCGAATGAGAGAAAGAATCTCTTTGCCATCCTTGTGCCATCCAGGGACACTCTGCACAATGCAGTAGCATTTCTGGAACTCAAGTATTGATGCTCATTGTATTGTTGGCCACCGTCAGCCCCTGGTCATCATATGTAGATCCTGAATGTACCTTCAATGAAGTGGTATCGAATCGCCGTTTTAAAGAAAATGATAAGAAGGCTCAATAGAATTAAAAAAGCTCTCTGATGCTGTAATCAGCGATGTAGTCTTTATCCTAAAGTTGTACATAAACCGGTCGGCGGTCATACTTACTCCTCGAAGGGACAATACAAATAGTGTGCATGTAGCATAATTGATGGTTTGAGCGCCATAGGTGCACTTTAGGCTCGATGTCACCGGCGACAGATCGTGTGACGGGCTTGATCAATTATCACATCTCGTTATCATCCAGTGAGCTGATCGGTATTACCACTCAGTACTAGATGATTAGGGAAGAACACACCGTGCCGCGCTGAAAAATAATTGACGCAGCGGTCAAAGTTGAGTTCATTACCACCAAGTTACGAGTCTCCGCTACAGTAGGTCGAAGGAAACCAGTGATTCGTCGCCTCGTATGCGTGAAATAGCAGTAATTTGTCCTAAGGTGAGTACATATACTAGCAACGGCTCAAATTTCAAATGCCACAAACGGAATTTACCGATTTCAATGTAAAACTACAAGTCGTAGGAGAAATGGTGACGCAACAAATTCCTTCAAGACCTGAAAGCCCATCGTTCCTGGGAAGTGTTCGAGCTCTCCGATGCCAATCGAGCCCTGCATGAAGGAGAGTGCAGCATCAATTTCAGCCTGAGCAAGTCGACCGGTAGGCACGAGGTGTGCTTGTTTCCACTGCAAATTTTCCAAAACCTCATGAACATGTATAGCGAGATTTGTTGACTTCATGCTCAGAACACCATTGTCTGAACCTGGCAAATTCGCCCTCGTCGTTGTCACCAGGGCTGGAAGGGCTTCAATGCGTTCGCCGACCAGTGCAGAGTGGCATGCGCACACTCGTGACTTTGTGTTTGCTGTCGTGCATCGGTCTGAGTAGCAGTAGCGAGAACGAAAGGGAATGTTTACTGTATTGAAGCAGGTTTTGTTTTTGGGTGGAAGCCCTGAAGGGACGACCCGGCCCCAATAGCGGCCCCAACCTGTGCGAGCGAGAGCCGAGGTGAGCTGTGATTCCTAAGGCGGTAGGAGTGAGAACGACGCAGCGAAGTGAACCTCAGATTTCAAATTGTAGGAGCCGCAGGGGGACGCTTCGAGGTAAGGAAAGCGGCGTTGGAAAGAAGAGGTAGCAGCTTGGAGGCATTCGCGTGAGCAATGTTGCGGGCATCCGGGTAAGCAACATTGCAGGCATCTGCACGAGTAAAAGGGCGGGCCTTCCATCAGCTGGTTGGATTATGCTACAGAGCGCCCTGTAGCACTGTAGTGAATTACATTTCCCTGATGCCACTCAAGGCAAAGGTGTGGGCATTTGCATGAGCACAAGTGCGGGCATCCACATGAGCAAGGTGCGGGTAAGAACAATGGGAGAGATAAGGTAAAAACTAATATACTAGGCAATCTACTCCACATTGAGGTGAATAAGCAGATAGTTCCCTCCCCTTATCAGGTTTCCTGCCCTGATGAGCGAGAAAACCCGACAAGTTTGCAACGGAAAACTTCCTGGATGAGTAAACTTGAGAGGGCAGCGCAGAAGCGCTTTCAGATGCCCCATACCCATGGCCAGCTTCCTCGTCGGACTTGTCTTCATTGCATGCAAGGATTTAGGCCCTCAGAGCTCACCGGTTTGCCAAGTAGGCGAAGATAACCTAGAAAATAGAAATCAGGCAAAATAAAAATTCGGGGAATCACCTAGGGTCACGAAAATTTCGAAGAGAAGGAAGATTAATAAATAAAAAGTAGAAGGCAGCAGGCAGGTTTGAGCCTGCCAGAGCATGACGTGAGCACTGCATGGTGCGGAGACAAGAGAGGCCATGTGCTGCACTGCTGCTGCCACAAAGTCCTGATTCCAACTCTACGCTCGTCCCTCGCTTCGGGGTAGACTACTAACCTTCCAAAAGAATGTCCCCCGCCTCTCCTGGGTAGAATTGAAAGGGAAAACCCTGTCCAAGGTATCAGTATACGTGAATATCCCAGCGAGGTAACATTCGAGATCCCAATGTACAAGCCCCTGAGCTGCGTCAACAAGAGAAATGCCCCACTCGAGATGGCCATGACTGCTCAGATATTCATGCCACTTATCGTTCATTGCCAGGGTAAAGATGAGTCGGGCATAGCAGCAGTCTCGATTGCAGGAGGAAGAAGCGCCGGACCGATTATTGCCGTAGACTGTTGGGTCATAATTTAGACGTGCGACAGCTAAAATAGCACAAGGAAGCTCGTACTGGGGTGTTGCATCTACACCCTGTTGCATCGAGCCAATTGTGATGGAAAATATTTCTTCGCGAGTGTTAGAAACAGCTCCCAGTGCAGCATGCCGAACTTGAGAAGGTCTGGTGGGGACAATACAGCGGATAAGTGCCGTGACGTAGGAATACTGCTTGGTAGAGCTTCCTAGTCTGTGCGTGGCACTTAGCGAATTCTTCACAGCTGGGCACGAGTCCGCCACTGTGACACCATCGTAGACCACCATCCTAAACCAAGCCTCCATCACCCGGAAGTGAAAGGCCATAAAATTGTCCGTGAACAAGCATTGTTTTCAGAGCAGTGCATACGTCAGCATGATGCTTCCTTCGAGTTTCCTCTTGCTGTGTTCTTGAGCTGATTGTAGGCGGAACGGCCATCCGCATCACGAATAAAACGACTCCTCCCTCCCAAACGATTCCGGACCCAAACGCCGAAAAGAAGGTGTTGATCAATTTTCGCCGGCTGGCTGGAAAGATGAGTTATAGCCTTGACGCACTTCACAGAAGACTCTTTCCTATAATAATAGGCCTGGAAGTTATCTAATAAGCGTATATATATATATATCGCTGAAGCACCAAACCGCGGAGACCATTGGGCGAGAGGTACCATTGCAGCCACAGCCTCAACGACTTCCAGTGAGTGGATGTCTCTAGTATCCAGCAGATGGCGGACAATTTAATGGCTGTGCTAGTAGGAAAGACAACGCATCTGTACGGGTGGACATGTTTGAGGATGTTAGCTCTGTTCCTGTGTCCGGACGCAAGATTGACATGACAATAGTGCTTGCATAGATGAGAATGTCATCCGCAGTGATGCAGATGATGATGCTGGATATCGTCATTTGCTGGGTCCACATGTTGGCGTTAAGCGACAAGCCAAAAGGGGAGCAGGGATATTAGGAGGACAGGGAACACCTACAATATTTACAGTCTGGAGGTAATAATACTCCAGCCCATCCAATTACATCTGTCTCTGTATGCAGCGCTCCTCTAGAGACCCCCCCTCCCCCCCCGTAGAGTTAAGCCATTGCTTTCCCAAGACGTTAAATGCGAGGCTGGCGTTTGTATCCAGACACTCGCCTATGCCAGCCTGTCTCGAAACAGTCGAAGAAGGATGTTCCATATACAAGGATTAACTGCTGATATCATTTACAGCATTTGGGCCGCTCAGTGTGATTTAAATCAGGTGCAACAAGAGGACATTGGTAGTGTCTCCTGGATTAGGCTGCATTCCGACAATTAAAGTGGAGTTCACAGCTGAGAATAAACCAGCCTTGTTGGCGCATTAGGTTTGCACTAAGGGTGTATAGATGAACGCACAAACGTCAAGATAATCCATATCATCATTTGCCCACGTGAGGAAGTCATCACCGTACTCCGCCGAAACCCTGTCGTACGTTACCCAAAACTTTGGATCACCGTCTTTGTCGCGTTCTTGAGCTATAGGAAACCCTTGGCATCCATTGAATATGTGTTCGTCAGTTTTGAGCCTTTGAACCCAACAAATTCAGACCTTGAGTCATCTGCAATGATTGGTTGACCCTTACACATTCTTAGTAGGACTAACCTGGACGGCCATGGCAGGTTCCTCACTCGCTTGATCCCATTTTTATAAGTTTGTCCATAGGTGCTACACTCAGCCCAGTCTAGCTTACCTCTCACTCGCTTGTTGGGAGGTCAATCCCGATAGATGTAGGACAACACGCATTTTGCATGTTTTTTTTTGGCTGTCGTATTTGGTAGACGCAGGGGGGGAGAATGGCACAACTTGCCGAAATATATAATTGCCATGCTAGCTGGTGTCTAGTTTACACGTCGCAGAATAGAATCATTGCTTCTTGAGCATGTGTTGGGTATATGTTATCAAAGCTTCAAGCTACAAGTGCAAGAAGCAGTCTTGGAAGTTGCGATAACCCTGTCGTTCGATAAAATTTATCTTGTGCAGATTGATTGGCATTGCTGAGCGCTGAGTGCCATCATCGTAACATTGATAATTTGAGCTGCAGCCTGCAGGTTCGCTGCAAGCAACGTTTAGAGTTCAGGTGTGACTGCGTGATATTCACGTGGCCCATCGGAATCCATGCTGCCATCATCACCAAAATTACCAAATCCAGACATCACATGACATTTTGAATTTTCTGATGCCACCAATGACACATACCGGTGATCTCCGACATTTGACATATCAGTGCGATACGATGACATCGAACATTCCGTCTGTCAGACACCACTCATCTAGTAGTGTGCCTGTCAGACAGGCATCAGATACATTCAGATACATACAATGTATGTAGAGTAATTCTAAATATATAATATGAAAACTGGGTGAAGCTCGAGCAAAGTACCTAAAGGGCACCATAGCCTTCTTCCATAAGTATGTTATCATTGAGTTCCTTGCTGTCATCAGCCATAATCTCATCCTCCTCATTGTCCATCAAGATATTGTGCTCATCCTCATCCTCATCCTCATCCTCATCCTCATCCTCATCCTCATCCTCATCCTCATCCTCATCCTCATTGCCCTCATTGTCCTCATCCCCATCCTTGTCATCCTCATCACCCTTGTCCTTGTCCTTGTCCTTGTCATCCTCATCATCCTCATCAAATTCATCGGCAATATCTTCAGCTTCATCATCTGAATCTTTGGGAACATGTCCCTCGTGCTGCAAGAAGTCGTCCCACTCTTGCATACCCTTGTGGCCAACAGTGCCCCCTTGAAATCTCATGAACATATCCCTATCTACAAACCTAAGTAGCATGTATATAATTAATAGGTAGATGGTGAATAAAATAATAAACATACATGTTCACATAATACAACACCCAATTGGGGTCTGATTTGTGCCATCTGATCGTTGGAATCAGAAGTCCTTCAGGATGGCCAAAAGTGAAACCCAGAATGATATGAACGCCCCAAATGATGCATTCTGGATCAAGAAATCCATATGTGTTGGGACTGTCATCCTCGAAAAATTGGAGGTGCTGAAGTCTCTTTGCAGTGAAGCCAGCTGCAGTGGTATCACATTTAAACCATCTAACAAATAGAAAATCCATTCATTTGGGACGGGACCATACTGAATTAGGAGTGTCATAGTATTCCACATTGACATGAAAATTTTTGATGAGACGGGCATACCAGTAAGGATGAGTGCGGTCATCCTCATGTGACATGACCATGAGATCAGCACGAGTGCAGGGGTTGATGGAGTCTTGCTCACATTGAAGATCATATGTAGTATAGTTGACCTGAAGGATGCTGTGTTCAAATAATTTGTTGTCCATGATAAGAACTAAGTTGCGCTCTGCATTGGAAAAGTCATGCTCATCCCCTTCATAGGCAAGGCCTTGCAGATGAGCGTACAAATGATCTTTCAGGTGAGGAATAAAGTTCTATATCACTGCATTATATACACATTCAGATTTAAAGTAAGAAATACATACCTGGACTGCTGGATCGTCACCCAGCTCACCTAACCATGCTGTAAGGTCATAAGTCAAACAAGTAGACTTGGCAATATGGTAATGTTCTGATGGTGAAGTCCACACATGATGACATCAATTGCTACCCTGTACGGCAGCAAGCTGTGTGTGAGCATTGATGACCTTGCTACAGAGACGTTCAATGGCATCTTGAGTTGCAATGCTTGCAGTCATAGTGGCTTTAGTCTTGGCAGTGCGAGGGTAGCGTCTTTTGAGTCGTCTATGCTCTAGTTCACCCTGTTATAAAATTAAATATATGATCAATGACATTTAAAAAAACTCACTGGTTGTGTAGTGTAATTATCTGTTGTCCCCCTCATCCTGATCATGTTAGGGTAGTCTCTGAGTGCATGAAACTTATATGTCTCAATATTAAGTTTCTTTACCTTTGGGCATGATACACCTCCCTTCACCTTAGCTAACTGACCCTGCCTGGCAGCTAGAGCAGCCTGTCAATGCCCCTGAGCAGCATGCTTGTGAGGCAATTCTGTGGTGACATAGGTTTCACAAGTTGTCTGTTGAAACTTGCGAACACTCTTGCCAAGGAGAACCACTGCTGAGTTGAAAAAATCCAGAGTGTCTTCAGTATGTAGATGGAGCTTGGTGTAAGCTTGCCAGGTAGTGAGGTTGAACAAAAGGTCCAGAATATTCCTGTCATTATCAGGATCTAACAGTAGATCCTTGAATACTGGGATTGAGCACTGAAATTCAAGATATGATATAATTGTGTTAAAAATGATTGAACCCAGAGGCTCACCTGCAACAGATCTTCGAAGTCTTGTGCTGCAAGACATTTCATCATGGAGGCATTCCTGTGGAAATGCCAGATCGTTCCTCTCCTGAATGTAGGAACACGATGGTACCTGTTGTAGATAGTTCTGTAGTCAGTAATTATAATAATAAAAAACAATGTACCTCCAGTTCAAATCCTTTACCACATTACCCCCAGCAGCATGCATGATGTGCATCAAATGGTGAAAATGGCCTTCCATATGCTGAGCTTGAATTTGTGTAGCATGTCCACCATGAACATCACAAATAGATTGAATCCAAAGGCGAAAAGCTGATCTGTAAATGCATTCTAAGTTTGATTAGCAACAAATTGAAAATAACATATGGTCGAGTACTCACACATGTAGGCATGAGGGACTTGGAATTAAGGATTGATTTGACATACTTACCATCCACTGGTGCACCACATTCAAAAATGAGCTTGCATGCATGATTGATCTTTTTACATCAGGCTAGATCGTTGACATGTTGAAGTGTCAATCAATCAAGCATATCACCCTCTGTTCCCATCTTGGATACATCTACCTTCTTGATTAGACAGCATGGGCAAAGACATTCACCAAGAAATTTGATTCTGGCAAGCAAGATCCTGATCTCATATCACTATAAGCACAAGAACAAAAGAAAAAACACACTTTTCAGGGTAATCTGCTGAATAAGCAAAAAAGCATGGAAACACTCTGCAAGTGATTCTGTCTCCACAGCAGATTATGATGCCATGCTCATAAGCATGCATAAAGTCTTCATCGAGAAGGAGTTTCCATATTGCCTGCATAAGCTCACGTTTGCAGTGTGTGTACACCTCCGATGAAGATGTGTCCTCAAAAAACTTAAAGTATATATCTTGAAAATCATCTGGAATCTTAATGTTTCATAAATAAGGGTTGCTTTGAGTGATTTGAAAAGACTTACTGTAGGGATGTACATGATGTGATGGCATGCACAAGTGGTAGGCTTCCCACGTGTGTATTTAGATTTGTTTCCGAAAAATACATAGAATGGCCAGAGGGAGGCATCGCTGAAATTCAAAAGGTGTGTTGAGTTGGAATACATCATGAGTGATGCTATGACACATTCAAGATTGTCGTCTGGTTCATGAGGAAGGGAGTTGACCTTAATGTAGGCCTCCATTGCAGGTGAAGCATATGCCTCTGAAAAAACTTCTATACTCTGTTCTTCTGAGACTTTCCACATATGACAGAATGGTGTCATGTGGAACATTGTCACTGCACCATCTTCAAACACCTCTGTTATGATATCAATCAATGATCAATGGCATACACCTTTAATTTCAAGCTCAGGGGCATTGCGTTCTGATGGCCACTTTGTTTTTTCTTTCAGAAGGTGAATATAGACCAATGACTCCTTCCACCCGTTCCTAGCACTGAAAGGGTTTGATTGGTCCTCAAGGTACTCTGCAATAAGTTTCTTCTCCTGGGTGGCATTGAAAATTCTCACATCATCCCAGTTGTAAGTGTCGTCATTGAGGAATGTTGTGAGTCGCTGCATGGCAGCGTCAGAAATTAGGTTGGAGCTGGAATACTGCCAGCACATAAGCAATCTGGCTGTTGGGCTACTAAATGCAGAATATAGATTTTCAGGGGTGACAGAAAATGGGAGGGGGGGCCAGTGTGAAGGCGAGGTGGGGTATTATTGGGATTGCTGGTATCATGCTGCAACATTGGTGTGTCACATAGGCTATTGAGGGAGGACTGTGGAAACAGAGTAGGACAAGTAGCATAGACTCTGTACAATCCCATCACATCTGGTTCTGTCTGAAAAGAAATTAGTTTGTTACCAATGTGATCAGCCTCCTCAGACATGGTATCTTCAGGCTGAGCCACTTCAGGTATGTCTTCACCAGGAACAAAGTTGGCATATTGTTTGGGCATGTGAATAATGCGCCCAGAATGATTGGAGTGAATAGGAGCTGTGCTAGGCTCAGGTAATGGTGGCAAAGGGGATCATTGCGAAGGTCCAGGAATGTTGACATCCTGTAATATATGTCAAATATCAGTTCTGGAGAATTAAAAGGAAGATACATATCTGAATATGCCAGTCTCCGGCATTCATGTCGCCCATTTCTTGGGGGGGATCTGGCAGAATCGCATCTCCATCTTCCTCTCCACTGACAGACTCTTGACAGTTGATTTTTCTCTTCTTGATCTTGCAATCTCTTTCAGAGTGCTGGTATGATTTACTGATCTGGGTGCTGAATTCATGGTGAGTCTCATATAGTGTCTCATGTGTGCTCAAGCACCTCTGGCTGTTGAAAGCCTTCCCACACCCAAGGCAGGTGAGTCCATCCATGGAGAGTAGCAGGAGTGGGGGATTCAGATGGGAGCAAGGGGCCATTTATCTGTTTATCTGAAATAGAAGTACCTCTAAATCTATGCAAGGATATGTCAATACCTGAACAATTGGTGTGAATCGCATGGACACACCCCAGTGATACTCGAGGTTTGCATCATATCATGCTGCAAATCCGATCTGTGAAAGCATCTGAGTCACAGCAGCACCTTTTGCAGTGTGCCAGTGGACAAGCATGCAGTCTCCCTCAGGCTGGGACTCACAGCCTTCAAACTCCCAAATGAGATCCTATGTGCAGCACAGTGAAGCATGCATAGATGTGTCTGATGTTAGTAGTGTTGTGCCACGAAGACAGGAAACAATGTGGGAGGTGAGATGCTGCAGGACAACATGTAAAGATAATGCAGTGAAGATGCGTGAGTATGAATCTTCAGGGAGGCAACACACTGTGGGACAACATGTAATTGTTGTGTAGCTCATCTGATAACATCAATATATACACCAGCTGTGAGTAGTCTGACAAAAGGCTGATTGAACATACAACACACCTGATAATGGAAATCTTCAAGGCACTATAGCCATTGGATCAGAGGGGACAGAGACCTGAGTCAGACACATTGACATGTGCTGTCCAAGAAGGCAGTTATGACTATTCAAGAACATCTATGGGGAGACATGAGTGTACACATGCTGTCCAGGAAGGTAATTAGATGAGAAAGCACAATACACATACCTCTAAGTTGTGGAGACCTGAGTCAGACACATCAACACGTGCTATCCAGGAAGGCAGTTATGACTATTCAAGGTGGGTTAGTGTAATGATGAAGTATGAAAATGCACAATACACACACCTACACCTAGAATCCCACTGAGTTGAGTTAACGCAAACATATGTTCAAAGAATGGAGAAGCAGTCACCAGTATGCAATGGTGGATGCAGAATTTGCATGGAAACATAGTGCACTCGTGGTTGGACAAGAAATACATTGAATTCTGCTATAGTATTACATCGCATAATGAGTTAATTCATGCAGAGTGTGTCAGTAACTGATGCAGAGTGAAAGGGAGGTGTAACAAAATGAAAGCAGGACAAAGTGCTGCAAAGGAAAGTTAAATAACACAATGATATGAGAAGTGCAAAAACTACATAGTTTTGTCATTGGCCACTACATCAGCTGGTGTAATCTTGAGGTTTTCAAAAGCTGAGATTGGCCATGAAGAAATGTCTTGGTAGCCATGAGGCCAGTGGGGGGGCCAAACAGAATCTGCATCTCCAAAGAAGTGACCGTGACTGAGCTTGTGTTTTTTTGAGGTAAAGTCCTTCCTGACTCTGGTGAGCCTCACTGGAGTTGCAGTGAAGAGATTGGGGTCATCCCTGAATCAAGATGAGACAAAATGAATTAAACACCGGCAAAAAAACATACTCAGTCTTGGAGGTCATCTCATTGGAGACAAATGTCACATCCAGGTCGTCTTTCATGCTAGATGAAGAGCTAAAAGATAGAATGTCATGGTGAGTCTGTATACTAACTAACAAAAAAAATGTATCATACATCTTGTGAGCCTTCAATTTTGATGTCTCTGTATCACTTTCCATGTCTTCGACAGACGTGAATCTGGACGTGTCTTTTAAATGCAATATAAGAGCCTGTACAATTAACATAAGTAAACCAATGCAACTCAGAATTTGAAGTGTCTACTTACTACAGGTCCTGGGTGGGTGGGTGTGAACTTGATCATATAAGTCGGCCAATCTATGAGTAGATTTTCAACATCCATGAAGATGTAATTGCCGTTGATGTTGACTTTGTCACTGCAATCGACAGGTCCGAAAGGTAGAGTACTGGTATCAGACATTATAAGTGGTATAAGTTGGTATAAGATTAAGAGTTATCGATATGCATCGACCTAATACACTACTCGGAAAATTCCAGCAGAGCCCAATCTAATAGGAGCCAAACAAGGGCAAGCATGTCAATATTGATATGATATTCATGCATCTTTATCACTGATTCTTATCTTTCCGTCCTACACCATGGCCCATCACAAATGCTGTCTTCTTACTTGAGGTGTCTTATATAAAAGTGGTCAAAAGGCAATGACACCACAATTACACTTTTGATAAGACTGAATGCTGCCAACAACCTCAAGTTCATGGTCTATGACTTTTCTTCTTTTGTGGTAGATAACACGGCGTTCATGGGAGGTTACCTGCTATACAGCCTGGTGGTTTGATTCTACCTGGTTGTAAATAGGGGTTCTACAATACAAGCCTAGCTTTATCCGGCAAGACAGATAATGTAGAGTATGTAGATAGAACTTTATCTAGTCTTGAGTTTGACTAGACAAATAGAATAGATTCTGTAGGTAAGTCTCTCTAGTCCTATGTTTGACTAGATAGAGAATAGAGTTTGTGGGTGAGTCTCTCTAGTCCTATACTTGACTAGACAGAAAATAAAGAATAGGTGCATACTATGCACAAAACTAGGTAGCAAATAATGCTAATGATATTCCCCTGCCTTGATATACTAAAGGACTTATAAAAGGGAACTTGGTAGAAGCTGATTGGATTTCCCTGCCTAAATGCAAAGGGTTTAATCCAAGGAAGATGATATGATACAAGAGCAGATGATCCAACAAAGGAATCTGCAGGCACAGATAATATGGCTTGACTTGGTACTTCTAGTCCTCTGAAACTATATGTCAGATGCACACTAGACAGCACAGGTACAGTCAAGAAAAGAATAAATGATCTCAGAGCAAGTAAACCAAATGTGCTTGGTCTGCACTTCCTGGCTAACACAAAGAGTGTCAATGTCAGAGAAAGTGGAAGAATTGGAGTGTTCTTTTTTAAATGATAAAAGAAGATCTTATTCTTATGGGTGGAGAAGTGCTCTCCTTAAATACATGAGATGGGAGAAACTGTATAGTACCAAGAAATAAGGTTGGAAAGAGAAATGACATCAGAGTTGCATCATAAATGACCTCATTGTGGAGCAAAGTGGAGCAAAAGTGGAGCCAAGTGGAGCAGAACATTCTAGCATCCAATGACATCACTATGACATCATAGATGGCTTCATAGTATCCAACAGAATATTCCAGAAATTTCTGTGGAGCTATATGACATCATCATGACATCATACCCTGCAGGTACATTTTGTGGAGTCTCTGGGATGTCAAAGAATCAAGTAGGTAAAGAAATGAAAGAAAAATATAAAGAAAATAAAGTAGAATAAATCATAAGACAGAACAAATCAAAACACTGGCTTTTTAGATAGGGTTTTGGTAGGCTTTTATCTTTTCTCCTTGGTTATTTCTAGTCAAAGTAAATAAGCCAAATGATAGGCAATAACCTAAGCTTTTGTATGACTATCAACTTTGACCAGGTCAATATATGATTTCTTCATCATATTTGACTTTTCTTCAACATACCATATTTTTTGCATGATTGGAGCATGCAAAGTGAAATATTGCACTTGAGTCTGTACTCAAAGTACATTTTGTGTGGTCTGAGGACTAAGCTAACAGACTATGGAAATGTGGGATGATATGTCATATACATGTTCTGCATGATTCCCAAATCATGCAGGACAATGCGCTATTTCTATTTCATTGTCTTCTTCATCCAACAGTTCTAGTTCATCCAAGTCAGTAGTAGTTGTACCTCTGAAGAAGATCTCGAAGAAAGTCACTAGGCCAAAGAAAATGCAGTGCTCATCAGATGACAACAAGAAAGGGACATAAGTAGATTCATCAATATTTTGTTTGGATATTGCAATCACTAATAATGTTTCAATATAGGAACAAGGGTTCTGATAGTGATCCTCATGAGGAATTCCTTGCTGCTGCATGCTGCATAGCACATTGTATTGATGTGTTTTCTAAGACAAAACAACTCATTAATGTAGGTCTAGCTCTGCAGCAGCGCAATGCTGCAGAGAATGGAGAGTTATCAGAAGACGAAGACACCCAGGTTTGTCACAACAAGCGACTCTCAAAGATGTAAGTCAGTCTCAAATCTTAGTGTGGACTGATTCTTATTGCTCCATAGATCACCTAGGGTCCAAGAGCGATATAAGAGGAACTTCGCTCACTTGCTTCAACTCGCTCCAAGCTTGAAGCCTCTGCTTGGCGATCCTCAGAAAGCCACAGAACTTAATACCATCATCAAGAAGGTGAGTATATGTGCATATCTGCGCATATCATGTACTTATTTAATCCATCAGATGGATGCTACTATCTCAGCTACTTGCTCTGACGACACCTCATGCCTCAAGAGTCAAATTGGCCATTACACGGCCTTCAACACCAAGGACCACCCAATACATCCAGCTATATATGATGGAAGTGGTTCGCATACACACATGGGTATCAACCACCCTATTCTAGCGCACTTTCTCTGTCCAGTCAGGGAACTTAAAAGATTTTCAGAGGATGCTGACAAGTGAATTTTTTTAAATTTTGCCTCATGTTAGTCTAACATATCACAGGGCATTTAAAGACATGCAATGTGGCAAGATCAACTTGACTGCATCCACACTTCCTGCATTTCTATGGGCTGGAGACCCACCAGGTGAAGACTACGACAATGACAACATGTTCGAAGGCATGTTTGATGGTTATTTGTTGGAGCAGGTAGGCATTTTTTTTGTCACTGTTTTAGATCAATATTTCTTTATTTATTAGACTATGCAGCACATTTTTACAAGTCCATTGAGTGCATATGGAGGGGAGACACACACAACACGTACCTGCAATGCTGCCCTACACAACATGACCACAGTGGAAGCAGCGCATATTGCCTATGGCTGCTTACAGGTTTGATCACTTTAGACTTACATACTGATGAGTTACTCAATTTTATTCAGGTTCATTTCAGTATCAGCACTAAGAATGCTTGGTCTGAAATTGATGGTGCTTTCAACTACCAGGACTTCTACAACAATGTTGTCAAGCTTATTGAAGATTCACCTGATCTGGAGTGGAAAGAAGAACTCCTCAAAGCTTGGAACATGTGAGGCTTTGTTATATCCTTCAAGGTTCATGCTAACCCTTATTTATCTAAGGAAACTATTCAAGAATGAGGAAGGCCATGACAACAATAGGACTCAGGATGATGATAGAGTCTCCAGCTCTTGCAAAGACAGAGATAACAACTTGGCAAGAGTCCATGCCCAAATGGTGGCTCGTTGTGCAGCCAAGGCAGCTCCAGCACGTCCTCCTTCTCCCTCACCTTCCCTTTCACCACCACCCCCTCCTCACGAGTCAATGCCAGCTCATCCATCCAAACCAACACCTTCTCGCAAATCATCTCCAGTGCTGTCTCCTACTCCCAGGCCAGTTCCTACCCCCAGGCCAGTTCCTATTCGCAAGCCTCCTGCTCCATCTGCACCAGCACCTGCACCTCCTTGCGAATCAACACCAGCCCCTCGCGACCCAACCCCAGTGCCTTCTGCTCCCAAACCAGTTTCTCCTCCCAAGCAAGTTTCTCCTCACAAGGTTCCAGCTCCCAAACCAGTTTCTCCTACCAAGTGAGTTTCTCCTCACAAAGTTCCAGCTCCATCTGTGCCAGCACCTGCACATGCTGAGTTGCCCACCCCCAGTGGTCTAACAGGGTCCTTGGAGTTGGATGAGGAGTCCAAACCCATCCAGACCAAACACAAATGCAAGGCCAAGAAGGGGAGCACCAAAGTCTCTAAAGCAAAGCGTGCCAGGGCTGCCCCATCTGCAGAAGCCAAGCCACGGAGAAGTGCAAGGAAGTAGTTGTCCCCTGCCTCATGTATCATTGCATGTTCTCCTCATTCTGTTACAGTGCCCCACTCTTTTTCTCATCATCACTGCAGACTCCTATATGGCTGTACTTCTAATGCTTCCTTTTCACTGTGCTGTTTCCTCATGGTCTCCCTTATCTCTGACTCATACCTTGTTTTCCCATGAACCTTCCTTTCTCAGTAGTCATTACCCTTTGCCCAGCTTGGTCTGTGCACGATTTCCTTATGTATATAAACCCTAGTTACTACTTGTATTTTCTCTAACTTGAATCTACTTGGTTCTCCTTGATACTTGAACTCTAGCTCCTTGGGAAGGAGGCTAGCCATTGTCCCATTTGAATCTTAGATCCTGCGGGAGTCTAAGTGATTGCTCCTGAGGGAGGCATTGACTCGATAAGGCTTAGTCCTTGATCAACCTTGATCTTGATTCCTTTATTGGAACGACACTCTATCCGAGTTCGTAACAAAAGATTCAAGTTCCCTTTGAACCCCTCCATCTGTAGGGCTTTACTCTCTGAACCCACAAAACTGATTGATTGCCAAAGTGGCACCCTCCAAGAAAAGCAAGAAGGCTTTCTCTGAACGAACCAGGATCCCATACAGTCCCTATCCACCCAACTCTCCCAGATGAACCTCTTCATCACGAGGATCTTTTGACACTCCCCGCACTCCTGTTCTCCCTACTCTTGCTGTCCCAGGCCCCTCTTCCATTTCACACCACACTATTGTTTCTCATTTTGAAACAAGTGCACCAGCACCTGTAGAAGACAGAGACGAAGAAATCCCTGATGCTCCACCTGTTAAACTGGTAGCACCACCCAGATTCCCTACCCCTGAACCAGACACAGACACAGACTCAGACACCGACGACATGCCTAAACCAATCGAAAGAAAGATCTGCACTCCACCTGACTTTGATGGAAACCGAGATGGAACCTCAAGGTTCCTCTGCCTTGTCACTCTCTATCTAGACACAAATGACGAAATCTATGATACCAACACTAGAAAGATCGCCTTCGCCCTTTCATTCATGAAGGAAGGCACAGCTGCAGCATGGATGGAAGACTTCATTGAACATGCCCAGCA